GCCAGTGAAGCCTCCAGCAGCGCGAGTTTTCCTGATTTGTGCATTTTTTATTTTTTTAGGAACGGTTGTGGTGTCGTATCTCATATATTCCATCAGTTGATGTAAAGATGAGTTCAGTTCAGAATCTGAGAGAGTTGATCAACGAGCGACTAACTGCTGCTGCTGAAGAAATATTCGCAGAGTTTGAAAAAACCATCGTCCAGTACGAGGAAGAGATCGATCGTCAGCGCAGACTGCTGGATATCATCTGGAAACCACAGATAACGATACACACGACAGGTATGTGGAACTGTGTTGAACTAACTGATGAATAAGACTCATGTAGGATCCTAATCAGAGCTCTGAGTTGCTTTTATTTTTAGCTACACAGACAGAAATGACGGTGCAGCTGCAGTTATTGTTCAGACATAAACTATATGAATGGATGTCGTTTTAAAAGTAGACACTTCTAACGTTAAACAGTTTGTTTAAGACACACAAACTGACTAAACTAGAGAATCACTGTGAAAAATAAACGATGTGAGCAAACAAAAGATAAACCATTTAGGGGGGGAGGAATCAAATTGCAGTTGTTCTGATCAATGTTACAATTGGATGTATGACATTTTTTTAAAGTCAGGCTTCAAATCAATATTCCCTGTTATATATTTACAACATATGATCCAGCATTACCATATAAGACAGCATCAAATGTGTGACTGTCACACAAAGAGGACAATATGAATTTATAAAACTATAAACTCAAAGTCTTAACTTGAGTCAGATGCAGATGTTTGATGTGTGTCTGTTGAATAATGAGACTGTGTTTTGTTCTGTTGAACCACATAGTGTAAAGCCATCAATAGGTGCAGACGGCCTCTAGAAGTTTCACTCTTCTCACAATAGAATTGAACAACAGCATCCGTCTTATCATTGAGCATCCTTACCACATAGATCCTGAACTGTAGCCTTTGTGATGTACTGAAAGTGCGAATTGTGATTTCAATTTGAGTTTGGTTATTTGTTCAGCCCTCATCAGTGTAACAGTCACACTTTTGGACGGATGTCTGGAATGCCCTGCTTAGCCTGTTTCTACCACAAAACAGAATCTGGATCAGTCAAAGATGGATGGATGGATGGATGGATGGATGGAATGTGTTTTACGAGCATGTCATGAGTAACATTTTTCTTGTGTCCCTTTGTCCATCCAGACCTCCCACAGCGAAATGTCTGTAAGGAGGAGGAGGTTCTCACTGAGCAGAATGTCTTCAACCAGGAGAAAAACTCCAGTCTGGACCAGAAGGACCCAGAGCCTCCACAAATGAAAGAGGAACAGGAACTTTGCAGTAATCTAGACCAGAAGGACCCAGAGCCTCCACAAATGAAAGAGGAACNCTCTCGATTTACCGGTCAATCTACGTCCCAACCCTCACCTATGGTCATGAGATCTGGGTAATGACCGAAAGAACGAGATCACGGATACAAGCGGCCGAAATGAGTTTCCTCCGCAGGGTGGCTGGGTGCTCCCTTAGAGATAGGGTGAGGAGCTCAGTCACACGGGAGGAGCTCGGAGTAGAGCCGCTGCTCCTCCACATCGAAAGGAGCCAGTTGAGGTGGCTCGGGCATCTTTTCGGGATGTCTCCTGGACGCCTCCCTGGGGAGGTGTTCCAGGCGCGTCCCACCGGGAGGAGACCTCGGAAAAAAAATCTATGTCTCCCAGTTGGCCTGGGAACGCCCGGAAGAGCTGGGGGAGGTGTGTGTGGATCGGGAAGTCTGGGCGACTTTGCTAAGGCTGCTGCCTCCGTGACCCGACTCCAGATAAGCGGGAGAAGATGGACAGTCTTACTAGTAGGGCTGGGGGTTGCAAGGTGACTCGATGGTTAGCACCTTTGCCTCACAGCAACAAGGTTGCCGGTTCGCGTCCCGGTGAGGACATCGGGATCTTTCTGCATGGAGTTTGCAAGTTCTCCCCATGCAGTGTGGGTTCTCTCTGGGTTCTCCGGCTTCCTCCCACACAGTCCAAAAACATCTTTAGGTTAATTGGTGATTCTAAAGTGTACGCAGGTGTGAATGTGAGTGTGCTTGGTTGTCTGTCTCTAAGTGTAGCCCTGTGATAGACTGGCGACCTGTCCAGGGTGTCACCTGCCTTAGCCCTAAGTCAGCTGGGATAGGCTCAATGAGAACAATGGTGTTCTACTCAAACACAGCAGCATCCAAAAATTAACATGTTACAGTGCAGAAGAGGACTATGAACACAAAGTGCACTCGTTCATAGAGTAAGTGAAACCAGACACTATTCTGATCTGTGCTCCTCTGAACAGCTTCTCAGTCGGAGGCCGGAGTGTGATGGTACTACTATATAAATAGAGTAACATGTAGGAATATGAGGGGACATCAGTTCAATAAGTGAGCACAGTTTAACATTGACAGGTTGAGTTCTTTTTCCTTTGTTGTGTCATCAGATGAGTAATGACGTTTTTTAAAGACAGTTGTTGGTGAATCGACTCATTGGAGTCTCCTGTACAGCATTCTTTGATGTCAGTTACCAAGCATTGTTAGTGCTTATGTTTCCAGATGTGGATTGGGAGGATTCCTAGTTGAAACCTGTAAGTTTTTGTTCCAGAACACTCACAGATGCTAAACTACAAATCAAGAAAAGTGTGTTGCTGCAGTTTGGACCTGAGAGAAGTTTTCAGAATACACCTACAGCCTGGACTCCTCCAGTCTGCAGAGTGGTTACAAACCTCTCAATTTTCTGATAAACTAGGAAGACCTCCATCTGTGAGTTGTCAGAGACGAGTGCTGCGTATGATGTGCTATCACACCACAGCCACATATGTGACAGGAAACAAACTTGTTGTAGCAGACACCATTTCTAGAAATTCCAGCAGTTGTGACATAAGATATCTCTGAGCTGACCAATGAACTAAAGGTCAGTTAGGAAGAAATCTGTCTGTCCTGCCAAGTTAGACCTGGACAAACAGCAAACACTACAGGATGCTGAGCTGCAGACGGTGCAACACTGTGTGATGATGGGGTAGACCACATACAGGAGTAAGGTGCCAGACGACCCCAACTGGCAGCAGGTCTCCAAGGTGAACAGCCTCTGGCACGCAAGAACAAGGCAGGTAAGGGAAGTCAGTAAGTTGAATCCGTAACTTTGGGACAAGTATGTGAACTGAATGAACACAACTGCTTGGCATTTGAAGACTGCTTTTTAACACATATAGAAATAGCAAATATGTGTCAGGTGAAAGCATTTGAGCCGAACTAAGACACATCTTCACCAGATGTGGATGGTGAAATGGTTCCCCCATTCTCTGGCAAAATTGTAATGCTACGAATATGATTTCAGACATATCACAACCAGCCAACATGATGCTCAGATTACAGTTTTTTCTCAGTTTCTTTGGTACATTTCTCAGATCAGAATTGAAATTCTCAAAACTACTTGTTCAGTCTTCACATCATTGTATCACTTGTGCACATCAAAAAAGCACTTTCTCATTTCTTTGAACAAGTTCTAAATGCTTTGGTACATCCATACAAATGATTGTGTACAATTCTCTGCTGTTTCCTACCTTATCAATTGCTTAAGTCATGTTGATCAAACTGTATTATAATGAGGCTCTTTCGAATAGTCTCACCGTCCACAACATTTAGGCATTAGTTCATTGCATAAGTCTTTACATGCAAAATGGTTGAACAAGTAGTCATAATTTGTCAAGCATATTTCTATACATTTTCATTAGAGTTTTTTTTTTTTTCTAAATCTGTCCTGAATTGGTAAATTGCTCTCAGGTGAATCTTGACTTTCTCTAATGAAGGGAAATGTGTACGTATATCAACCAATGATCAACCAGTTTTCTGAAATAGCTCAAAGGTGCATCTTGTGAACCATCAGCTGGCAGGTATATAGAAAGACTGCACTGTTATTCCTACAGCATTGCATGCACAGTTTTCCCCAAGGAGATTGTCCTATGTTCACATTTCTACTTTTGTTTGTTGTCTTTGTGCTATGCAGTGCTGTCTTTTCCTTTCTGTATCGTAATGACATGGTCTGTTAACAAATTACAGTACAAACAGTGAAAGTGTAAATGTGAATCTTGTCCAGTCTCTTGCAATCAATCTCCTACATACACTAAGGTGTAACTCATAATTTGCAATAAATGTCATATAAACTTTAGCCATAGTTTACATCAGAACATCCATCCAGAGTACACTGTTATACTGACACCATGACTAAACAATCTGACTGTCTTATACTTACACATTGACACAAGGACTTGTCATTCTGATGGCACTGACATGTTCATTGACACAGATATTTAGTTTTGAGAGATGAACTAAGGACTTTGAGAAAGTAACTGCTTTTTGCAGGTAATCCATGGAGTTTTGCTATTCGTACAAATTGTTTTGAGAAATGCACTTACTGTTTTGCAAATGTCGAGGATGATTCAAGAAATGTACCAACACGACTGAGAAAAACTGTAACTGTCATCAAAACTTTAGCCATAGTTTACATCAGAACATCCCTCCAGAGTACACGGTAATATTGACAACATGACTAAACAATCTGACTGTCTTATACTTACATATTGACACAAGGACTTGTCATTCTGATGGCACTGCCATGTTCATTGACACAGATATTTAGTTTTGAGAGATGAACTAAGGATTTTAAGCAAGTACCTGCCTTTTGCAGGTAATCCATGGTGTTTTGCTGTTTGTACAACTGTTTTGAGAAATGCACTTACTGTTTTGCAAATGTCAAGGATGATTCAAGAAATGTACCAAAGCGACTGAGAAAAACTAACAGTGAGGCCTGTAACAGGGGCTAGCAGCTAACGCAGGAGAGACGTAGGCTGCTACATCTTGCTTGATGCAGAATATCCCTAAATGAGCTGGCTGATGAAGTGAACAGCGATCACATGAGTCAACAACAAAACACCTGCAATAATAAAGTGAACAGTGTAAAGGCTGATAGGACTACAGGGAGAAATGCTGTGTTCATGTTCCCTTCAACCAGCCTTATGTGCTGCTGCCAGCTGATGTAGATACGGAAGTAGCAGCACATAAAGCCCACATGAACCTGTTCCGTTTTCTCTGAACTTAGTAGTTTTCCACATGTTGTTCCTTGAGATGAATTTTGTGTTTGTTCTTTGCAACACATCACTGTTTAGCAGCTTCTTGATTTCCATCACAGTGTTTATGTAATAGGGTCATTGGTGCAGCAGCAGTTTTGAATTAAATATATATGTATTGTTATATTAGTGATACATAATGTACCATGTGTATTTTATTTTATTGTTATTTTTTTTAATTATTAGAACCACACAAAATCTGGTCTGCCCATCAGTTGTTGTGTGGAACCTTCACTTGAGGTTCTCAGTACCCCACGTATGCTTTTGGTCACCCACCCTGTCCTATAAATGGGGTTTTTCCCAACTTACCTGTTCCCTTTTGTTCATGTATTCTGGGGGAGAGATAAGCGAGACTGTGCCGCTGTAATCTGTGTGTTCTAATGTATGAAATTTCACTTATAAGTTTACTTTCCTGGTTCTAATATGTTGTTGTATTGACAATGGATTTTTTAATGTATTTTTATTTTAATCTGTCAAGGTATGTGTTTGGGCGTGTACTGTACTGTACATCAACGGTATATATATTGAATGTTTCCCACCTTGTGCCCCCTTTTGTTCATGTATTCTGTGGGAGAGAGGTACAAGTCTTTGTAACTGTCAGCAGATTTTGTATGTTTTTGTCATCTGTCAAGTTACAATAATCACCTCCAAAAAGATCGATGCTTTGGCTGATATCACACAATGCAGTAGAGAACCCACAGGTTACACTTACAGTACACTGGGCTTATTTACAACATTGACTTTTCATTCAGTTATCAACATTAGAAATCTTCGCTTTGGATACAACAAACTTCCACGTCTGGCTGGAGCTCACAGAGAAGATAAAGACAGAGATGATGGTAAAGAATAAGATCATAGAAGTGTAACAGAGTGTGTCTCCCTCTAGTGGATGTTATAAAGTTTTCTGTTGTTGTTGCTCCAAAGGTTTTTGTACAGAGTTTTGCTGTTTCCTGTCACTGTGGGCCTCACAGCACAGTAGTACACAGCAGAGTCTGTCACTGCAGCAGAGGAGATCTTCA